TGTCTGCTACTTCGTCCTCTATTTCTGCCATGTTTGGTGGTTCTGCCAAAGCAAGGGTCAGCTCATCCCATAGGTAGGATATTATTGACCTTGATGAGGTTTCAACAGATGAAAATCATTTTCCTATTGTTAATCTTGACGAAGACTCTTCTCAACAAATACTATTTTTTTTTTCAACATGCTCGTGTGAGAAGTTATAAGTTTTAAAAAAAATTTTAAAAAATTATTATAAATATCTAAAATTAAATTACAAACACAAAATAAAATAAAAAATTTAAACACTTGGGAGTGAACAGTGGTGGTGTGGTGGTAGTGGCGATGGTGGAATGACAAAGGTGACAGTAGAGGGGGGTGGTCGGGGGTGATAATAGGACGGTGGTAAGATGGTGGTGGGGGTAGAGGTGAAGGTGGTAATAGTGATGGTGATGGTGGGACTGTAAAGGGGGTGGTGGAGGTGGGGTGGCAGTAGGGGGCAGTGGCAGTAGTGGTGGTTGTTCCGGCAGAGATGGTGGTGGGGTAGCGACAATGAAGGTGGGGGTGGGAGGCAGTGATAGTGGTGATGGTTGTTGTGAGGCGATGAGTGAGCTGGTGGTTGTGGGGCGGCGATGTCGATGGTGGTTATTGTGGCAGAGGTGGTGGTGGTAGTGATAATGGTGATGGTGGTGGGGGTGGTGATGTTGGGGTAGTTTTAAACACTATTTTTTTAAAAAAAGTTATTTATAAAAAATTAAAAATCCTAGGAACACTTTTAAAAAGTCATCTCAAATATACTTTTAAAGACTTATTTTTTATATTAAATTTGAAGAGTTAATATTAACTGTCGAATTAATTTTAAAGTAAAATTTAAAGAGATTTAAATTGCGAAAAATAGAACATATTTATTTATCTTTTAAAATTTGAATTGTATTGTAATTTATTATATAGATTATAAACAATCTAATCAATTTATTTAATAAAATAAAAATTAATAATTCTATAATATAATTAGATGTACAAATGTTTGAAGGGTAAGAGGGATATTTAAATAAATGTCAAATTAGGTATTCAAAAATTTATAAAATAAATAAATAATTAAATTTAGTTATGATTAAAATATAGTTTAATTATTCCGCATCTTGCAGCTAGTATACATAAATATACAAACTTAACTTACTTTTTTTTTTTTCAAGAGAAATCAACGTATTTTTTTTTTCAAGAGAAATAAGGTGAATCATTAATGAGGGTATGTATAGAATGGTGTAAGCTTAGCCGTTAATAGGATAAATATAACAGGGATTGAGAGTTTAATAAAGCGAAAAAAGATCCCCACCCATGATAAACAGGTTTATTGAATATGTATTTTGATCGATCTTTGATGGAATCAAATTTAAAATATCCGAGATACCTATAATTATGTCAAAATTGAGTTGATAATAAATTATGCAATATTTTCCATCTTTGTCTGGCCAGATTGCTAACTAGCATGTTTCGCAAAATTTTTCGGACATGTTTTGGTGAAATTCTTCTTGTTTATATTTGGTGCATTTTTATTTATAAATCATTTTAGGAAAAAAAAAATTATGTTTAATTTCTTAACGAAGACAATATAGATTCCTCTAAAATTGAGTTATTTGCGGTAATGAAGTGTCTTCATCAATCAAATTCATTTTCTTGTTTGAGTTCAAAAAAATGTAGAGGTGAGAATTGAAGGTAATGAATTAGTTGCTTATCAATCTAATTATACAGACATCTAATTGATAATTTTTTTGTGCTATACAATACCTTATTGAAGAGTATTTGCTGGCAATTTTTGTTTATTTGTTGCATTCAACGTTCAGACACGAATAATTGCTAGTTAATCTATATCTTTAAATTAACAATATATCTTATTATTTAATAAAATTTATTATCGATCTAATAACTGTAATTAGGTAGTTCTAATTAGTAAATTAATTTTAAATAATATTATTGAACAAAGACAGACTTATTAAATACAAAGTGAGAAAACGCTAGAAGGAGGGCTTGAACCTCCGACCTTGTGGTTAACAGCCACACGCTCTAGCCAACTGAGCTATTCCAGCTTCTCTGTCTAATTTTAACTACAAATTTAATTAGTCAGATTGTTATCTTTATTTGCCCATCTCCCCTACTTTCAATTATTTTAACTATCACCTATTATGAATGCACGTGAGTTTTAATATATGCAAATGATTCAAAATTAATATGCTCACTTCCATCAGTTGTATGCGAGGGTGTCCATGGCCCGGGGCTGGCTAGGCCCATGAAATTTTTTTAGGTTGGGTCTAGGTAGTAAAAGCCCAAACCCTTATCCAAGTAAGTTATGGAGTGGGATGGGCCGGGCCGGCTTCGGGTAAAGATAGGCTACCCACAGTCCAACCCATGAGCCTATTGAGCAGGCCTGTTTGAGGGATTTTTTTATATATATTTTTATTTAAAAATAATGAATATTTTTGTAAGTTAATACTTATGTAAATTATATTTTTGAATCAAAAATAAAGTCAAAATGGATAAAAATATAATAATAAACTACATCTAATAAAATGAATAAATTTCAACTAGGTTAACATCTACTAACCTATTTGTCATTTGTATTACTCTACCATTTAAAACTTATATACTTAATACATGGAAAAAAGTAATACATTATTTATAATATCTAAATTTTTAAAATTTCAAATTTCAATATTGAGAGACTTATTTCAAAATTTTAAATTTAATAGTCCAAAAGTGTAACTCTTTTTCAAAGGAAGGGTAGGTTGGGCTGGGCTTGACGGGCGGGCAGGCTCTTGGGCTGGGTTTCGGGCCGGATAATGAATTTGGGGACAAACTCAAGCCCTCTTTTTAAAGATATTGGGCTCGGACGGACCAACTGTCGGACCTATTTTTTTCGAGCTGAATAACGGGATCCGTGGGTAACCCGGCCCATGGACACCCCTAGCTGTATGTAACTCTCCCCCCCCCCCCCCCAAAAAAAAAAGTGGTAAAGAAAGACTTTTTGGACTTTTATTTTCTTTCTATTTGACAAACAAATAAAAAGGGATGATTCTTTTATTGCATTGATATAAGTCTAACTAGAAATTTTTATTACTTTAAGAAGAGAATCATTGATTTAACCGACAAACTAAGTGGGAAAATGAAACCTTTTTTTTTTTCAAAAATAGTTTTAAAAAATAAAAATTTCATTAAGTTTGGTTTCAAAAAACTTGTTGGTGTAAGATTTTGACGTCCATTTCTTTCTATATCATTCGATTATTTTTGTGGATTTTCAAAGTATGGTATTTCTGTGAATCTAACACGAAATAATTCTAATCCCAGTAATCAAAAAGTTCATTGATGTAAAAAAGTTAAGGCGTTAAGAGAGAAACCCAACTTTTACCATCAATGAAATCACCCCCGGAGAAACCCACAACTAGGGCTTGGCATCGACTTCGACCGAGTTAGCACATATCCAACCTCTGACTTTAGTCGGAGTGCATTTTTTCCTCCAAATTTGACTCCAAACTATTAAAATTCTGCTTTCGACTCAAGATGTAAGAGGGAGAGATATGGAGGGAATAATTGTCGTTCTTGACTAAGAAAGAGGGAGAGAGATGGAGGAGATGATCGTCGTTCTTGACTAAGAAAGAGAGAGAGAGAGAGGGAGGGGAGATGGAAGGTTGCCATTATTGGTGCGTGTCATCTGTGAGTGAGTGAGTGAGAGAGAGAGAGAGAGAGAAAAGGGGTAGGGAGGTGATTCGGTGCAGTAGGGGTAATGTTTATTTATAGTTGGGCTTTGGGCCTGGGCTTAAGGATTTTGGTGGGTTGGACTTAATATTTTGGATTTATAATAATATATTATGTAATTTATAATTTATATAAAATTATTAATTAATAAAAGTCATAATCAAAGTTGAATTTTTTTAGGAATGGATTGCATACTCCGACTCCAACTCCAACTCTGATCAGAGTCAACAAATTTTCTTCAAAGTCGGACATGAATTTGCCTAAATGTGGTATTTTCAACTTAGTATGAAAGACATTGACATACACTCCCAGCCTGTTTATGATTTTCCCTAATTAGTTTCATTTTCCCTTTACCCTGGCATTTCCAACAATGATTAAATAATAAAAAAATAAAAAAAGAAGAAGAAAAAATGCACCATCTCCCATAAATCAGGCTAATGCTAGCAATCTATAATGGAGAAAATATTCATTACAACGGTGATACTTCGTGTTAAGGTGATGCAGTATCACTAGCCAATAAATACTAAAACAAATAAGCAGATGAACCCCACAAAAATTCATAACTAACCTGTCATGTAACCAAATAACTACTCACCCTTCTGTCATGTAAGTCCAAGTGAGATTCACATTTTCTATTTAGAATTTTATTATTGATTAGTATCACCATTGAGCGTTGCACTAAGAGTGTTAGTTGTCTTCATAAATCAAGTATATGTGATGATAGGCATCATTTCACCACGATTATTTTTTAGGAGCCTAATTTTAATACATGTTATACATCAAAATTCCGATATTTGATTAGAATGCACAAAATATATATTCAGCACCTAACTAATTTAATATTGTAAGTCAAATCATTAGCCACTAGTGGATAGTGTAAAAGAACAGCTCACCAACTAGGGCTTACTTACAGGGATAATGTCATTCCCGAAGGCTTTCCAAAGCTTCTCTGAACTTGGAAAATAAGTAATCAAAATTTCCAGGTTAGCTCAAACCTTTTTCCTTTATTTTAATTGAACTAAAAGCCAATGGCTAATATGGGCCCACCTTATTGGATATACCTCCCGAATATGGGTCCCAATAGGGAGCACAACCATAGAAGCTTGAGTTGCCATGTGGTCCCCTTAAAATGGTGCTTTGTTTTCATTGTTCAATTAAAAACAATCTACCCAAACTCAACATTGTATTCCTACTCTATATATAAATGACTAGCAGTCTCAAGCTGATTAACAAGACATACATTTAGCTGACCAAGAAGATTCATAATACCAAGTTCCATGGCTGACTTCACATCAAATTTGCAGAGCTTTGAACCTTCAATATCTTTCCTAGATGCTGATCCAAGCATGGGACTTATCAACCAGTTTCCAGAGCTAAACCAAATTGTTATAGAGAGCTCAAACTTAAGTTTCCAGAGCTTCATGAGTTTTTCCAATGACAATCTCTTTACCAAACAATTATCCGATTTCTCAGGAAACTTAGAAGAAAATTTCCCATGCATTTTCCATCATGATGACAAAAATGACATACCTGTTTCTGGTCACTTTGTCTCTGGAGGTGATTTTCAAGAGAGCAAGAAGAGAAAAGCTATAGATGCATCAGAAAGTAGTTCTGGATACTCTACTCCTCCAGCTTCGGAGAATGGAATTACAAGGCAAAATGTAAGAGATATTGTTTGAATTTGCTTATGATCTTTTATTTTTGGTTTATGAATATGTTTTAATATGATGTGGAGTTATATAATTTGTTTCATTTGTTGTACTTGAGCAGAGTTCAGGTAGAGGAAAGAAAATGAAAAGCAATGAGAAGGAAGAGAACAAACCAAAAGAAGCCGTATATGTGAGAGCCAGAAGAGGCCAAGCCACTAATAGTCACAGTTTAGCTGAAAGGGTAATTAACTTTAATGCATTGCAGTGTTCTCAACCTGATTATAATCAATATTTGTCTCTCTCCTTTTCGATTTTTTTTTTTTTAGAAATTATGATCAATTTACTGAATTTATTTGCTGTTTGTTCAGGTTAGAAGGGGAAAAATTAATGAGAGACTTAGGTGCTTGAAAGATATTGTTCCAGGTTGCTACAAGGTGAATTAATTTTTTCTCACTCTGTCAGTTTTGCTTAATAAGATGATATCAGTTACATGGACAATAAAAATCAGGGTTCTAATGTTCATGACTTGGGTAACCAAATTTCAGACTATGGGCATGGCAGTAATGTTGGATGAGATTATTAATTATGTCCATTCCTTGCAAAATCAAGTTGAGGTGAATCGAAATCAGCATATCAAATTTTTCCATTTAAAATTGGTTATCAAATCAAAAGCTAAACTCATTGTGTGCTTTTTCGTTCAGTTTCTTTCTATGAAACTTACTGCAGCAAGCAATTTTTATGGCTTCAATTCGGAGAGAGATGCAATAGAAACATTGCAGGTACTTGCTATTTGCTAGAACCTTTGCAAAACAACCACATTTTTCATGGGAGCTGCCCAACAAAAAGCCTAATTTCTCTATGTACTTTTGGCTTATATTGAACTCAATTGTGAGTGAGAATCTTGGTATCAGATGCACGTGCCAAATTTCGTATTGCTTCCACCAAATGGAAACATTTAGGTTGAAACTAAAAAGTGAATAGAAAATGGTGTGTATTGGAAAGTTTTGCCATCAAAATTCAAAAAAAAATCAGTTTCTATCATGTTTTCAATTTTTTTTTTCATTTCTGAGCTCATTAAAATGATGAACCGAAATAAAATTTTGATCTTTGAGTAGTTGTTAGAAAGCACAAACATTTTCTATACTTTGAAGGTTCGAACACTTGAATATGATCCTGATTTACACACACACACATGCACCGAATAGTGTCAACAATGAATATATAATTTGCATGCATCTATTCATAAAGTGTAACCAGTACTTGTATTAATATTTTGATTGTTTTATGTTGCAGCTGGCAAAGGCATACGAGGCACAGAAGGTGCAGAGAATAGTGAGAGGAGGGTATGAAGGACTTGCTTCCACTCAACTTGGCTTGTTTGACCTCAGTTTTGGCTGCTGTCCCTCGTTGCCACACAACACATGAAGATGCTTCATTCCTCCTTTCAATCAAATTGTCGCCAAACTTGCTATACATAGGCACACATGCAAAATATATTCTTGTATCAACCCCACCTTGTGGGGGAATTTGAAAATGATTAATGAAGGGTATAGTTTTTCTTTTTTTTCTCCCCACTAATGAAAATCCTTGATTGGAAATGATAGCAGATATGCATGTGCATGTGCCCGATAATGTATGCATCAATAATATACAATTATTTAACCAAAGCCGTTGTAGCACAATTTGTTAAGTATTTCAAAGCACATCAATAGGAATCAAAACATACACACATATCTCTCTCTCTCTCTCTGTGTTAAGGATTTGATTAATTGAACTTTATGATGTATTGCTTGTCTGCTCAAACAACACACTGATTGCATAATAGCCAAGTAGGAATTTTGACTTGGAGACTTCCAGTAAGGTGGTTAGTACGCAGAAAACTGTTCCTTATAATAGTGGGAATATGATTAATTGACAGTTGATTTTGGCCTTCTCCAATCACATGTCTTCCTTTGCACTCTGATTAACACTGATTAAACTTAATCTAAGCTGTTTCTTTATATTATATGTGTAGAGTTCAATGGTACTTCTTGCGTTTGTGAACGCTTTATTTTCTTGAGTTCAAGGGTTCATGTCCCCCTCCCCTCCCCCCTATTTGTCTAGAGGACTGTCATTTGCCAACAGAAAGATAGCAGAAAGCTATAGGAACTGATGAAGGCATGAATTGGTAATTCTTGTGAGGATCGAAAGTAACTGTTTACATACTAGTGAAACCACAAACTGCTCTTCCGCATGCGGAGGGAAGACCATGCAAATTTGACCACAATGAAAGGAGCCTCGTGTAATGGACTACCTTTTTTTGAAATTTTTGCCAGACATCTTTCATTGGAAAATCTCATGACAGCATATTAATTCATTAGTTATTATTTGTGCCTGAAAGTATGAAGTAATAAAAAAAATTATTAATCATAACCATATTTGTATTCACACCCAAAATCAAATCACAAATATAAAGGACAAAAAAAATTAAGTATTAATTGTAATGGTGGTGGCAATCATTGGTGCCAACAGTGATGGTAATGGTGGATTATGGGTGATGATGATGGTAGTGGTAGTCATGGGTGACGACGATGGTAGTGGGCCACCATGATGGCAAGGCGGCGACGGTGGTGGATTGTGGTGGTGGGCAACTGGTGGTGGTGGATTGTGGTAATGGGTGGCGGTGGGCAACCGTGATGGTGGGATAATTGTGGTAGTTGTAATAAATATAAGAATGAAATAATAATAGTGGTGGGTAGTGATAGTGGACAACAATGATAGTAATTGATAATGGGTAACGACGGTGGTGATGTCGATGGCGGTGGCGGTGGTGGGGTGACTGCGGTGGTGATGATAACGGTGATGGTGGTGGGGTGGCGGTAACAGTGGTGGTGGCGGCAGTGAGGGAGGTAAGGCGGTGGTGGTGGTGACGACGATGGCGTGGAGTGGTGGCAGCAGTTGTAGTAGTGGTGTAGTTGTTGTCGTGGTGGCGGTGGCAGTGGTGATGGTGGTAGTGGTGATTGAAGCAGAGGTGGTGATGGAGTGACAGTGGTGGTGGCGGTAATGGTGATAGTGGTGATGGTGGTAGGGTGGTGGTGGTAATGGTGGTGGTGGTGGTGGTGGTGGTTATGGTGAGACGATTCCAAACATTATTTTTTATTTTTTAAGTGCTTATGAGAAGTTTGAAAAGTTATATCAAACACATTCTTTGGAAATTTATTTTTCCTATTAAATTTGGGAAGTTAATATTAACTGTCGGATTAACTTTTAAGTAAAATTTAAAGAGACTTTAACAATGAAAAATAAAATTTTTTTTGTTTATTTTTTAAAATTTAAATTATATTGTACTTTATCATATAAATTGTATATTGTCTGTATTTTATAAAGCGAAACATGTTCTGGGTTTGACCCTACACTACAAGATTTTAGAATATTGAAAAGTACCTTCAATAATACAAAAATCACTGAAGTGTTTAATGAGCAATTGTTTTTCTAAGGCTATGATGCATTTTCTTATAAAAAAAATACTTTTAGATGGGCCTTAGTTTTGCATCAGTCATGCATTCCTATGCGGAGCTTTGAAAATTAATGGTTATATCTTCTCTGAAATATATAAAAGTGTCACTTAATTTGATTCCTATTAATCAATAAACATGAGAGGGTGAAGTGGATATAAAAGCTACTATTCGACATTTTGACACAAAGTGACTAACATTATATTCAAATCCACGATCTCATGACTGTTAGATCGATACTTTCACCATTATATCATACAACGACCTTTATAACACAATCTCCACTAACCATTAATCAAGGGCAAATAAACAATCAACTAAGTAGATTAAGCAACTAGTACCTCCTAACAATGTAGGGCCATTAACAATCTCACCCGCAACAAAGCAAATGGATCCCACAAATTCATGTACAAATAGATCTAATGGATGTTGCCAATTCATAATGGGAATGATTGAGAGGAGAAAGTTGGAGTGAAGATCTGTTTAGATTTTGTTTATGAAAGAGAACTAGGTAGATGCATTGCATCGATAGGATTGCAAGGGAAGAGGACAGCTTGAATGGGCCAGAGCATGCCCAAAAGAGGATGGGCAATGTGGGTTCACCAACTGTCTCTAAATGATACGAGCTCATGAACCTTCAAAGCCACTTTCGTTTCTCTTTCCACCCAATCTTTCACTTTGACTCCCTTTTGACCAATTCTTGCTCGTTTCTTGGAGCATGCATGAACAAGGAGGATGAAGAGGAACAGTGGGGCCCATAGATTAAGAAATTGGATAGGGTTGTTTGCTACATTCGGTTAAGTGGAGACAGATAGCTAGGAACTAACATGGCCAAGTTCAAGGATCCAAAGTACGAAGTTCATTTTCAAGCTTTGATGGTTATGGGGTTGCTATCTAGCCATTAATCTTATTGCAAAAACGGCAGAAAATCAAGTTTTAGATCAAACACAATTGTTATATTGGCCTCTGTTTATTCTAATCGATCAATACAACTAAAAAGAGTAAAACTAGAATTCATCGAAATTTCAAGTTCAAGTTGTCGGTTTATCTAATACACCAGGTTAATAGATAAGTTATGAAATTTGTATAATAACCATGAATCTAAAGGTCTTGAAATATATAAGTATTTAAATTACACTACCACTTACATTTAAACTTTTATATGAGTTGGTGGTTGAACATGGTATCAAAATATGAAGGAGCACATTAAAATATCTAAAAACTGAGAGATACTATTTTCAATAGTGGAACTTTTGGAGTATGCATGAACAAGGAGGAGGATGACTAGTAGGACCCATAGAGTTAGAGTCATATTTTCAATTTAAATTGACGGTCACACATACATTAGCTGTAGTTGGGACAGATAGATAGTAACTAAACATGGGCAAGTTCAAGGATCCAAAGTGCAAAGTTCATTTTCAAGCTTTCAAGGTGGTGGGGGTTGTTGTTAGCTGGTCATGAATCTTAAGCTTTAAATCAAATAGACTGACATGGTTGTTTGAATTTACTCTTATAAATTGGTGCAGCTAAAAAGTGTTAAATTACAAGCCGGGGTCACTCAAATGAAAAGGCCTTAGGAGTGTAATGGTGTGAGGAAGCAATTTTTTAGAAGTGTTTTGTAAAAAGTTCCTTTGTAATGTCCTCGCATTTATTTTATAGCTCTAATGCTATATAACAAACATGTGGGCAGCCTCTTCGATAGTTCTCCTTATAGTTTGAGAATTTGAAAGTGCACTTAGTGTGGTTCCGCAGTTTATTTCCCGACCTTCACGTTTTCATGCAAATCTTTGTGCTCTTGTGTATGTGGCTTTTTTTGTTGTTTTGCTATTGAGGGGAACTAATTTATTGACCTAATTTGCTGATCTAATTCACTATGACCTTTGAAGTAACTGTGAGTTTTATCAAACATTGAAATTTGATATTAATTCAATGGTTTCAATGAAATCACATCATTATGTCAGCAAATTAGTTCAAAATTTTAAATCTAAATAAGATTACGCTTTGCTATTATCGCATACACAATCTTGAGTAAGAAGAGTTTATTCCTAACAAATACTTTGAGGTCCTAATTCAAGTGCTTGTTTATGCTATATGCACTTGGTTTGTGGTTATTCCATGCA